TGTGGTGTGGTTGTCTTGCAGGGCCCGGCCTGAAAGTCATCAGCACCTTGTCCGTGGGGTTTGACCACCTCTCCCTGGAGGAAATCAAGAAGCGGTAACCCTCTCCTGCCCCTCGCCCTGCCCCTGTGAGGGACGGGGCCCAGCCGGGGGAGGCGGCGGGGAAGGAGGGCGAAGCTCAGAGCTCGTCCCGCTCTTCAGGCCAGAGCTGCAGGTGGCTTTGGCACCGGCTTGGTGGGTGGGCTTTGGCGGAGCGTGGGGCTGGACGGGGGGGGCGACCTGCGCATCCCTCTTCCTAGGGGATGGCTAAGGGGCACCCACGGGGTGTGCGACCTGCGCATCCCTCTTCCTAGGGTATGGCTAGGGTCACCCCAACCCAGCTGGGGCTGGAGGAGCCTTTGGATGCTAGGGTAAGGCTAGGCTAACCCCACCCCAACTGCGGCTGAGAAAAGTCTTTGGAGGAAGGGCTGAGGAGCTAATAGGGATGTCCTCTTGCCCATGGTACTGCAGAGACCTAGAAGAGGTGTAGCATCAGCAAGTTGCCCAGAAATTTTGAAGGAGCGCCCCAAGGCTGGCAGCGTTGCCCCAGAGACCTATGCTTGCCTTGCAGAGGGATCCGTGTGGGGTACACCCCTGATGTCCTGACCGATGCCACCGCAGAACTCTCTGTAGCTTTGCTTCTGGCTGCGTGCCGCCGGCTGCCGGAGGCAGTGGAGCAGGTAAAGAAGTGAGTATCAGCAGCTGCCAGCTGGAGCAAGGGCTGGCTTCTGAGCCCAGCAGCCCCCACATCAAGAGCTGCAGGAGAAGATGTGCCACATTGGACAGATGAAACGGGGCTGAAGCCAGAGTTTCACCCAGCTTGCACCGAACATCTTTCAGGCCAAGATGGAGTCTCCTGCAGTTCCGTGGCTCTTCGGAGACGTGCTGCTCAGGAGCTTTGAGAGGGGCAGAAGTCTCCTCTGTATGCTAGGTAGAGGACCTGCAGGAGAGGGCACCCAAGGCCACTGCAGACCCCTTGAGGAGGGCATGCATGGAAGGTCTGTCCAGAGCTCACTGACTGGCAGTCGTTCCAGGACTGTGGTTAGTGGTGCCTAAATTAAATCAGTCCCAAGGCTGCTGCTGCTGCTACGCACGCGAGGTCCAAGCAGATTCCTGCAGGAGACCACTGAGGTTACTTGAAGCAGCAACCTCAGAGAGGCTGGTTGTAAGATCTGTGCCAGAGGAGCTGGCCGCCCACAGCGTTGTACTCTCTGGCGTACTTGCCCAAATGCTGGACTGGGGTATGAGCAGGCTCTCCCCTGCTGCTGTCTGACATCTGTTTCTATCTTGCTCTCTCTGACAGCGGTGGCTGGACAACATGGAAGCCCTTATGGATGTGTGGCTATGGTCTGTCTGATAGTACGGTGGGCATCATAGGTCTGGGGAGAATAGGTAAGTGCAGGTCAGACACAGGATTTGTGTGTCTCCAGTGATGGCAGGGTGGTTTTTGAGGTTCAGCCAAGGTGGTGTCCCCGGTGCTCACTTCTTTAACGTCTATGAGAACAACAAGGATTGCTGTGTAGAGCCTCTCTGAACAGTGGTCTTGATTCATCAGGCCTAAACCTTGAAAGTTTAAAGCATTCAAACACATCTGCTACATCTGAATGCTACTGCAAACCGGATGTTGTCTTCTCGACTTTCAGTTAAACAAATGCCCTGACAAAGTCCAAGATGACGTGCTTGTCATCCATTCAGTTGTGGACTTTGTCAGCAGATGGCTATTTCTTTCCTCACTTACCAGTGTGCTCCCTAGGGTAGCTTCAGGTTTAACGTCCCACGGCTCCCTGTCTGCAGTTTCACTCTGGTGGGGAGTTCGTTCCTGCTCGCGTGAGGAGCAGCAGAAGACATCCACCCCCCACCCCATGCCCACCATGCTGCAGGCTTGGAGGCAGCCTGGCAGGACCGATCCCACCACAGCGACCCTTTAGCGAGCGATGTGCCCTGGTGGCTGCTGCACTGTCAGCTGCACCAAGTGCGAGCTTGCCAGAGGATGGACCACCTGGAGAGGCCTGATGGACCCCTGTGGGCCAGCATTAGTCTCTGTGCAACATGCCTCGTACAGGCGCTGGCACAGTGTCTGGACAGTCTTCTCTCTCGCTCCTAGGACAGGCGGTTGCCCGCCGCCTGAAGCCGTTTGGGGTCAAGAGGTTTTTGTATACTGGCAGTCGCCCAAAACCAGAGAGTGCTGCAGAGTTTGAAGCTGAGTTTGGTAAGAAAGGCGCCAGGAGCAGGGGTGGCGGTCGGTCATCCGTTGCAGGGCAGCACTATGGCTGCGATGGCTCTGGGGAGGTGTCACCCCGTGGGAGTGGGCCAGTGGGAGGGAGGGTGCAGCTGGAGGTTCTAGGCAGCTCCTCATTGTAGCTGGTGTGAACTGCTGTGGGGCAGCAAAGGAGGGAATGGCGAATCCCAAACATTTCCCATGCAGCGGTGGTGGATGGCAAGGAGGGAAACCTGTCTCCTTTGAGCTGGGTGATTCCAGCCGGAAGGCTGGACACACCGGGGCTCTAACTGACTGCCCACCGTAATTGTGAACTGTGGCTGTTACTGCTGCTTTTGCCTTTCATCTTCCCCCTGTGCCCATCTGTTTGTGATTTCCAATTAGTTTCATTCCCACAAGGAAGTGGAACATAAAAGACAGGTAGAGGAAAGTGGTGGTTGCCCCTGGAAGGAGGGGAAGGCTCTTGTGGACCATCCCCCATGGGATGGGTACCCAGACGTCCTGCAGGGAGGAGGGAATAGGCTGAGGCTGACCGCAGCTCTTCACTGAGAGTAGATGCTGGTTGCTGGAAACAAACATCAGCTTTAACCTCCTGCTTTAAAATGAATGTCACAGTCCAGCCAAGCCTGGGAATGTCTCCTAGCTGCTGAACGGGGCTTTTCTGTGGCCCTGTTAGAGTCCTGAGACTTGCATCAAGTGCAAATTTTTCACTCCAAAGCCAGCACGTTTTCAGTTGGTACTTTTTTGCAAAGTCATTGGCAGAACTTGTCCTGCTCCCTGCACTTTTCTCTCAGCTCCAGGAGTGAAAGTGGCACAAGTTGTTATCTGTAGGTACCGTATAGAGAGATTTAATGCTGGTATAAACTGCTGCTGCCATATTTTGCTGTCTAAACATGAAATACATACCAGAGCCTCCTTTGGGCCAGATTTCTGAAGCATCACTAGATTCCCCTTTGGCTTGATTTTAATTCAAAAGTGAAACAAAGCACTGCAGTGTTATCTGTAGGAATGTGCAAGGTTTCTCTTGGGTGTTTGCTGGTCCTTGTGTCTCCCCATCTGTGGAAAAGGGTCGGCCAGGTGTCTCCGGAGCAGCACTCGCTTGCTGGAGAACCTTACAGATAAGAGGGTTGCTGAGGTGTGTTGGTGAGGTCCCTGAGCAGAGCTGTGACCCATGTTTCTCCACCCAGTCCCACTCACGAGGCTGGCCGAGGAGTCGGACTTCATTGTGGTGACATGTGCTTTGACTCCAGCCACCGAGGGAATGTGCAACAAGGAGTTCTTCGGCAGAATGAAGAAGACCTCTGTGTTCATCAACACGAGCAGGTAATTGCAACCCAGGCTCCTGCAAGGGGGAGGTGACTGTCACCTGCCGACAGCTGTGGTTGCAGGGGGCATCTGGTGGGCTGTGAGGTATGCTTCCACTGGGAGTCCAGACAGCGTGTACAGCCTTCCTGTCTGCAGCCACCGGGACCATTTGCCCAGCATGTGGCCTGCTCCCTCCAGCCTACGGTCTCTTGGGATCAAGCTAAAGGCGGGATAAGTTATTCAGGGAGGTACAGCCTCTGTCTCCTCCCGGGGCCCCATGTCACACCTTGGTGGGGCAGATGGATGGGTGACTGTTGGGTGACGGGAGGGTGAGGCTGAGGGATTGCCCAGGAGAGGCCTGTGACTGCCAGAAACCTTGGGATGGAGGCAGCTGCAACAGGGCTCCTTGGCCAAATCCAGCAGTAGCCTCCTGTTCCCACTGCCTTCTTGCAGAGTGTGGTGGCAGCGCAGAACCCATGCAGCCCGACCCATGGCGTCCACCCAAGTGCCCGGGACGCCTCCAGCTGCCTGCACCTCCCTCCATGGCTGCCCTGGGGTCATCCTAAGCTTGGGCACCCAGCTCTTCTCCCCGCCGGTGGGCAGCCTGGAGCAGGAGCAGCTCGTTGCACTGGGAGGTTCAGGCGCATCCAGAGAGGGTCCAACCTCCACTCAGACCCGGATGCCACTGCCCAGGCTGTCCCATGTGTCCTGTGCCCTGGCTGCATGACCCTGGGAGCTCACGGGACCCCTCAGCAGCAGCATGGGCCTCTCCCTCTGTGTTTGCCAGGGGGGCCGTGGTGAACCAGGAGGACCTGTACAATGCGCTGGCCCATGGCCAGATCGCAGCGGCTGGCCTGGACGTCACGACGCCGGAGCCACTGCCCACTGACCACCCCCTGCTCTCCCTCAAGAACTGCGGTAAGTGGCCAGCTGGGTGGCCAGGCCCCCGCTCTGCACTGACAGCCTGCACTTTGGTTACTTCATGTGCCCGTGGCTGGGGAGCTGCTGGCTGGTGTGACGAGGATTCCCCGTCCCCGTTAGCCTGCCAGTGCGAAGCAGCTCTGAAACATAGAAGGACAGGAAGGTCAAGTGTATTTAAGCAGACTGTAGGTAGCCACCATACCATGTGGGGAGGTACTGGAGGGGAAGACCTCATCAATGTGGTGTAAAACAAGCGTGGAAGGTATTTTAATTCTCCAGAAGGCAGTTGAGATCAGCTCATTTTTTAACACCTTCCTGATGGATCTCCATTCGATGGGCCAAGGCAAGGGGTGAAATTCATGGAGGAGTCTGATACTAGCTGGTGCCTGAATGAGAAACCAAATCCCTGCTCATGCCCTGATAAGCTCTGGTATTCTGTAAGCTCCTGGGGATATATTCTGCTAAAAGTTTCCCATGTGGCTAAAAAGCTGGTTGCTGAGTCTGCCTAGAGGAATCTCAGCCTCTGGAGTGCTGCAGCCACTGCAGGACTCACCACCTAGCCCATCCACTGTGAGCCTGGGCTGCCAGGTGCAGGTTCAGCATGTGTGCCTAGAAGCACAGTTCATTTAAGTGCTGGCCTTGCCCTGACATCCGCGTTGCCCAGCGGATGTCAGCAAATTAGACAACCCCAAGCTGAAGAGGCCAGCAAGTGCTCACGCTATGGGATGAACTAGGTTTCTTTGCACATGGTCTAGCTGCATCCCCTGGACAGCCCAAGGCAACTTTCATTGGGAAAGTGGAGCCCGGTGAGGTCAGGCAGCCTGTTTTCTAGATAGTAATGGGCATCAGGTAGGTAGGAAGGTGCTGGTCCCAGGACTCGTGCTTGTCTTCTCCAGAGGAGGTTAGGTCGGATGAGGAAGGCTGGTTAGGAAGGGGCTTGCTCAGCTGCTTTTGTGCTTCAGCATCGCCAGGCTGCTGGAGTGGAGGCAGGAGCAGCTGCAACCAGGGGCAGACCATAGTTCCTTTCACCGGTGCTTTCCCAAAAGCTTGCTGAGATCTGCTGCGTGGGGCAGGATGATGTTTTAGTGCAGGATGTTAGCAGCCCTCAGTGTTTTCCTGGGATCCTCGTTGCAGACTGAAGGGGTTGTGTGGGGTGCTGTTTCCCATGGCCTTGCCATGCACCAGTGCAGCTCCATCCTCACAGGCTGGCCAGCGGCCTGGGACGAGTTAGGGACAGCTGCTAGCATGTTCACTGCCTTCCCTTGTGTGGCTTTCAGTGAGTAACTTGGCCCGTCCCCTGTGAAGTGGGGCCAGGAGCTTTCCTCTCCTTCTGCAGACAGGGAGCATGTGGGTCAGGCTGGTTACTGAGCAGGACTGACTCAGACACAAGCCAGACAGGCTTGCTTGTATCCCTCCAGGCAGAAAAGAGACAGAAATGCAACCCGGAGAAGGCACTGCTTTCTAATTAGAAAGTAAATGTCTGCAATTATCTGTGACCTTGTCGCTGGTGCAATGGCAGGGCACCTGTTCCTACCTGAATGCTTGGCTTCGCCGGGGTGGCCAGCCCTGCTCAGAGCTGATGGCATGAGCCGGGCCAGAGCAGCTTCATCGAGTGCCTTGGCTGCTCACGATGCACCCCAAGCATGAGATCTGGTGTGTACATCTTCACTTGCATGGGCAAAGTACCGGAGCGGCTGTGCAGGCAGCAGCAGGATGTCCTCTCTCCAGGAAGGAGGTTTTTGGAGTAGGAAAAGTCTGTTCCGAAAAGAAACTGTAGAGACATCCATGAAAATTTGGAACTGCCCAGGACTGAGTGTCCGTTTCTGAAATACAAGTTCATAGCTGTTGCTTTGATTATTTTTTTGCTGAAAACTATTTTTTATTTGTTGCTTTGGTTCCCTTAGTAGACAGTGTGAGAAATGATAAAAGCAGAGACTTTCTGGAAATATTTTCAGGACTTCAGACATCTTAGAGCTCTGGAAAAACACCAAGCAAGACAAAAATAAATACATATGTATTTACTTTCGCAGAAGAGGCTTTGATGATACTGAAACTATTCACAGATTTCACCCCAAACTGCCAAATAGTTTCAGCAGCTGGAGGAACATGACATAAGTAGAGGAGAAAGAAGTGTTGACGTTACTCTCACGGTGAACAAGGCTGGTTCTTGACTGAGGGAGAAAGGACCTACATGGCCCCACAGTCCTTGGGAGAGCCTTCTGCCCCCGGGGCAGCAGTGTGTCGGGTGTTCAAGCTTCTTCATTGCCTTTAGATGCTCTCTGTTATAAAACAGAGACTGCAGCGCAGGCTTTTATCCATACCTTAGGCAAGTACTCTCCACTACTAATGTTATAATAATTTACCACTAAAGCAGCTTTGGCTCGTTCCTTTGCATTGCATAAAAGAAGCCTTTTCATATAGGTGGATAAAAATCCCTGCCCTGACTGCGCTACAGCACGCCAGCTCTGTTCAGCAGCGGCCGTTTGCCTCCACGTGTGCCTTTCCAGTGCACACAGGGGTCTGTAAACCACAATGTTTCACAACAGTCTTCAGGCTTTTGCCACGATATGTGTTGGTTCATGCCAGTCGGTGAGCAGAACGTCCCATAGCTGTGTGGCAATCAGTCAACAGCGTGCAAATGTCACTGCTTGTTCGTCTGCTGCAGGGATAGTATTTTACAGCTACCACTGACTCTTGAGTCCGTGCAGGAAGGTGAGAGTACCAAGCGTGAATGCAGAAAGGGCCCACTCTTGGCTGTCTGTCTTTGGCCTGGATGACTGAAAAAATATGTCAGTTAGCCATTTTTCCAGTCCCAGTGGCTGATGATTTTGTTTCATGCTCCATGTCTGATGTCAGCTCCTGGTGGAGCAGCAGCTGGTGCAAGACCCAGGTTGCGCCCCGCCATGGGAAGACCCCTGAAAGAGGCTTTAAGAGGTCAGCGAAGGTAAGAAACAAGCAAGTAACCCTCCTGTCCCCTGCAGTGATTCTGCCACACATCGGGAGTGCCACATATGCCACGAGGAGCACCATGGCGGTGCTGGCGGCCAACAACCTGCTGGCTGGGCTGCGAGGGGAGCCCATGCCCCATGAGCTGCTGCTGTGATGGCCACAGCCCCGCTCCTGCAGGGCAGCAGGACTCAGCGTTACTTTCCCCTGGAGGAGCTTCGCAGACCAGTCCTGTGCCTCCTCGCCTCTGCAGCAGTATGCCAGCGGTGCCTGCGGTGAGGGAACTGCATTGTAGTCATTAAAGAGAAGCAGTGAATGTGTCGTGCTCATTTCATTTGAGAACGGGGTGCCCCCAGATGCACTGCGGAGTACACAGAGCTTCAGGTACCGCCGTCACATCGCCGCTGCACTTGGCAGGCGATGGATGGTGTTTGGCCCCAATTCAGAAAACACTTGCAGCGTTGGGACTGTCGTGTATTTTGCTAGCCAGCATGTGTTGTGCCGCAAGGGAGCTGCTGCTGTATCACCTGTCCTCGAAGCTTGGCTCCTGGGGTCACAGCAAGAGGCCAGGGAGTTCTGTACTTGAGCTCCCAGCTCGTAGCCAGGAAGGGAGGAGAGGTAATTGCTCAGTCAGCACAGGCCCACTGCTGCCAAGGGAGCTGCTGCCAGCCCACTGCCAAGCACACGTTACAAGGTCTTGTTGAATCCGTGCCAAAGCACAATGTTTCTGTTCTTCAGGTGTCTAAAAAAAGGCAAAAAAGGCTTGCATGGCTCCCCTGGCATCTCCTTTTGCATCTGTAACTAATTCTGGGTATGGCTCTGAAGTGGATTGCAAACGGGAATTCACACTGGGAAGGTCTGCAGCCCTGCACTGGTTCTGGCCTCAGATCCCCTCCCCAGTTCATTTTTTTCCCAGCCATGCAATGACATGTGTTAGTGCAAAGGAAAACCTGAGCGGGTGCCAAGGCTCTAGCTGCCAGGAGAGGCCTAGATGAGCACATTTCAGGGGCTTTGGGGGCTTCTTCTCTCTTCAAGTGACTGTCCCACGTCTGTAAATGGGGGTTGGAACCCATCTCTCCCTGACAGTCCTCCCCAGCAAGCTTCTGCCTCAGCTGGTGAAACAGTCGGTGAGGTGTGCTCCTTGGATTGCTCCTGCGTGCTGCCTGCCATGCCTTGTCTGAGGGCAGCGTGCCCCGATGACATTGTTTCCTTAAGGAAAAGAGAAAGGTGGCTGCGACATCTCATTGCAGTGGCAGGAGGAATTTAACACATTTAAAGCTTTTCAGAAATCCTGCTTTGAATGTGTGCTTGTTGAGTGTGATCCTCAAGCACCTTCCTGCTGCAAGGGTGGAGAGGGTCAAGAAGGGCGTTTTGCCATTTTACAGGGCGCGTGCCCATAAGCCATCTGCAGCAGGATCCTGCACGGTGAGTGCGCAGCACTGCAGCATCCAGCCGGGCTCTTGAGGACAGGAGCAGCTCATTCCTCACTCTCTTCAGCAGGGGGCTTGGCTATGGGCTTGCAAAGTTTTCTTCCCAAGAACAAGGAGTGAGTGAGCCCCTTTCCCAGTGTTACCCTGCTTCCTCTGGGAGCTTGCTCGAAAGGGGCAGCTTTTGTCAGAGCCCCCTGCAGCTGCAGCAGTCCTTCCCAGTCTGCTGCAGGCAAGCCCATGTCAGGGGTGTGCTCTTCCTCAGATGGGAACCAAGCCCTTTGGGGGCCCTGGGGAGTCTTTTGTGGTTGGGAGCCACGGTCACAGCTTCACGGTGTAGACCAGCAATTTTCCCATCCTCCTGTGCAGCCAGAACTCAGGGAGCAGTTCTGAAAAGGTCACTACATAGCAAAGGAAAACACCCAAGTGTGATTTTCAGAATAAAAGGCAAGGATTTGATGTATAGGATTATTGTATTTTGAAATCAACAGCAAAGTGTTAAACAAGCACAGTCATGTTACTTCACTGGAGTTCTACCAGAGACTTGTCCTGTGCCCAGTCTTGCAGCGACAGCACTGCTACAGCTGGACACATCTGCGAATTGCAAATTTGTGTTCCCCACGTATGAACACGTGTATGATGAGAAAGCCAGTTCAATTTAACTTCTTTTCATGTTCTACCTCTGCGGGGTGGTGGGGAAGCCTTGGCAAGTGCAGCCTGTTAGGGCTGGGGGGGGGACGAGATGGGGGTCCGGCTGGCCCATCCCTGCCTGATGGTGGCGAGACTGCTTGGGGGCACACATCGGCCTTGCCACGGTCCCATCCCCTCGTCCCCTCCTGCCACCTGTGACCGTGAGGCAGATGGGACAGCCCTGCCCGCTGCCTGCAGGACCTGTTCACAGACCTGCCAGTCGCGGCCACGCGGTGACACCAGCCCCAGCCAGCCCCGCAGGTGTCCCCCACTGCATGGTGTGGAGATTGCTCTTGCCAGTTTTAAACCAGCCTCCTCCCAGCTCCGTGTGCTCCCAGTCCTCGTGCTGGGGAACGTGGTGAAGAGCAGACCTGGACTCAGGTTCCTTGCGAGCTGTGGCTCTCAACTGGCCATCCTCCTCTCCCAGCCTTGTCACTCTTCTCCCCAGGTTTCAGCATTCATGGCAGCATATGAAACAAGGGACAGCCTTATTTCCAAGGCTGTGGGAGGTGTGGAGAGGAGGAGGAAGTGAGTGAACATTTCGGTTCACTTGTGCCCAGGGGAATCCGTCCCACAGACACAGAGCAGTAAGCACACGCAGTGAGTTCAGCCAGGGCAGGTGCTGAAGTTGCTGAGCAGTGACCAGCCCTGCCAGCAGCAGAGCACTCGCACCAGCCACCCAGCTGCTACCGGCTCATCTCATCCTAGGTTTCCTCCAAAGCTGAGACTGAAGCAGCTCTGTTGGCCTCATGGGTACAGGAACCCACCATGCGCTCCATAGCACAATACATACACATAATCCAGGAGCTCGTGGCTTTGGAGGAGCCACCTTCAGTCAGGATTAACCATGATTGGAGATGGTGCCTTGCAGAGTGAAGCAAGATTGAAAGTCTGTCCGCATCCCAGGGCGAAGCACTGGGATTTCTGCTCAGTGCATGGGGTGTGTGGGCACGGGCACCCTGCTTCCCGCCATGGAGGCTCCAGTGCAATCTCCTGATCAGTGCCCTCACGCATCCCCCCTGCCCCGACCCAGCACCTCCCAGAGCCTCATACCCTCTGCGTGTGTTCTTTTAGATAACCTACAAAAGGCAGGTTTGGTGCTTAATAGCAAGTTTATTTCTCTGTAGGCATTTGATGTTACAATGGATTTTGATTTAGCAGAGTAATACAGCAAGGTACTGAAACTGCAGTACAAGCACAGTACTGCAGTTGCGATATATGGTGGGATTGCAGTAGAAACCTGATGCTCATCACCGGTCTCCAGATGCTCCACCGTCACCACGCTGGGCATCCCCAGCCGCCGGGAGGGAGCATGTGGGCTGTAGCCAGCTCAAGCCTGTTGCTCTTTTCAATGCTCTTTTTGCTGTCGTTCAGTGCTTGTGCTCTACGCTGGGCTGAGGCAGGTGAACCTCCCTGTGGTGGCCAGGCTCGCACAGGAGGACGCTTGGGCTCCTTTGGTGACATCAAGTGGCTGATCCACCCAGCTGAGAGGTGTGTTTGTACAACAAGATAAGCTCAGCTGCCTCTGCAGCCGCCCGTGCCCTCTGCTCTGCGCCTTCTCCTTTGCAGGGGTTTGCTGACAGGCCTCAGCAAGGGCAGGTGCGGGCTCAGTGTGGGCCCAGCACCGATGTGGTGCTGCAGCCGGGCAAATGCCCGTGGGTTAAACACATGATGGGCCTGCTTCCACCTCCGGGCTGAGGTTTACCCTGTCTCCCTTCGGCAGCAAGACAGGGAAAAACTCTCCCTGCCCAGAAGCTCAGCCGCTGGACCCCAACTTGGCCTCACCCCTGGCCGTCCCTGCCCTGTCTGTCCTGGGTCACTTCCCAGGAGCAGCTGCCCTGATGGCACAGCATCGGCCTCACCCACCTGGACACTGCTCCGCATCCAGCCCAGAGGGATGGACCAGGGACAAGGCCTGAGCACCAGCGGCAGCCCTCTCCTCCCCGCCAGCCATCCACCCGCTGCTCACAGTGACTGAGGAAGGTGCCAGATGCTGCGGGCAGCCTGCACCATCAGCCAGGACAAACCCCGCGCCTGCCCCCCAGCCAGTACAACCCCTGCGCCTGCCCCACCCGGCGCCTCCCTGCTGCGGCTCTGCCCGGCCACACTGTGTGTCCAGCCAGCACCCCCGCACCCAGGGAGGAAAGAGCCTTCCTCGTGCGGCCCAAAGGCTTCCACCACACTTCAGGTCTTGGTGAGAGCCGCTCATGCCCATAGAAATTTTTCTGGAAAAGAGAGGAGAAGTAACACGAAGCCTCGGCTGCTGGATGGACGTGAAACCTGAAAAAAAACGTGCTTTTCTGAAATGACGGCACAAGGGGAGGGGGAGAGGGGGCTGCAATAGGCAAGAGGAAAGTGTCTCATTCCCAGCTCAGGAGCTTGCTGGCAGTGCTCCCAGCAGAGCTGCGAGCAGCGTCTCTCCACCGAGCTCTGGGTAGCGGCTCCCAGCACCCATGGGCCAAGAGGAGGAAGAGCCTCGTGCTTCCTCCCGCAGGGAGGCCATGGCCCAGCGAGACCCCCTCCTGGAAGGCGACCAGCACATAGCGCAGCTTCACCGCTCTCCTCCCAGCAAGTCGGGCACAAGGCGAGCAGTGTGCGCCAGGCGGCCGCACTGCCAGAGGCGGCCGAGCCTGGAGGCAGCGAGTGCTGTGCTGCAGCCGGCCGGGCAGAGAACAGCCTCTGGAGGAAAGCCCAGGACAGTAATGGGCCATAACGTGCCTGAACTGCTCAATTCACTGTTCATTATTCTACAGCACAGGAAGGTTTCTGGCAAGGGTAAAAGAAAGTGCACGAGTCTGCAACTCTGAGAGCAGCAGTGTACTGTTTTCTCCAACTCTCATCCCATATAAAAGCTGAGCAGGGTGCTGCATAATAATCCAAAACATTTCTTGAGATGAGAGGGGAGGGCAGCAGCTGGCGGCACCGTAAGCCTCGGGCAGGGAGGGAGCTGAAATACAGAGAAAAGACTGTGCTTGGGAATTAAAGTTCAGCTAGTACGCTCTGTACTTCTCTTTCTGTTCCATGGCAAGTGTTCTTCATG